TTGCAGAGTACAGGCAGCCCTGCCAGAACCAAATGCTGCCTTCATCCTTTCTTTAGAGAGATTTTCTTCTTTTGCTCCCTGGGAACCAGGGCAAAGTAGGACCACCCAGAGCTCAGCGGTCACTTATAACTTCCAAGCCGAGAGCTGGAAATCAGAGGGACAAACGCTTTGCCTGGGTCCTCAGCTCCACTGAGCTGATATCCTGTGTATGGTGAGTTCTCTTTGGTCTAGAAGTCTCTGGGGATGCTAAGCAGTTTTGATAAAGGTCCCATAATGGTGGAGACAGGCCACCATACATTGGTCTCAACCTACAGATGATACACCACCAAGAGTGAACCCTAATGTACTCTATGGACTTGGAGGGATGATAGTATGTCAATATGAGCTCATCATTTGTGAAAAAGTCTTCCACTCTGGTGAGGGATGTTGGTACTGGAGGATGCTGTAGAGTTGGGTGGGTAGAGAGTACAGAGAAAAATCTCTGTTGCTTTGACTTGATTTTGTTGTGAATCAAAATGAAGCTAAAAACTAAAGACTATTAAAAAGACCCCCAATGATTATATTGATGTTGTTTTCCTAACTGTTCAACTTCAGTGATATTCCTCTATCACTGTGTGATATTCCTGTACACACACAATGTATCTCATTTTCCCCATCCTTCAAAAAACTTTTTTTCTGAAATGGGGACATAGTGTTCAAATATATTTTGACATTATATATAATTATTAATTAATTTATCATTGTTCAAAGCGGAGAACACAGACCATCTTCACAGGAGTCAGAGTCAGCCTAAAAGCAGGGCTTCATGTGAGCCAGTGGAACTCTTCTACCAGACTTCTCTTCCCTCTTATCTGCAAACTCAAAGCATTGCTGTTGTCTTAAGGAGGGTCTTGACCCCCCTATCCAAGCCTCCCAAACCAGAGCACTTCAATACTCCAGTACACAGAAAGAAGTATTCTACTAATCCTGTGATCAGAACACTCGAGCTGCAAGCCCAGCCCCTGTGTTGACAGAGAAAGAAGCCAAGGTTTGGAGAAATAGCATGGCTTGCTGTCACACAGCTATTTTTAGGAAAAACCAGTTCTCCTCACTATGAGAAATTTACTTTTGCTGCCGTGCCCCTAAAATAAATGCCTGACTGTTCCCTATGTACAAGTGATGAATTAACGAAAGGGGGAAAAGTTCAAGTCACCAACATCAAAGGGATGAGAGCTGACATGTAAATCTAGGACATTTTATAGGACTGAAGTCATTTAAAGATCTGGTTTCTGAGGGTGAAGGGAATTGAAGAACTTTTAGATTTTTAAGAAAATGTGAATCTAATCACATCTGAACAAGCACAATTGGGAGCTGGTTAGCAGAGGCCCCGGGGAAGCTTGCTGCCCGGCCCAGGACAATTTTCATCCGGCAAACATGCTGGCAATCTGCTGGCAATGTGGAATGTGTCCCGCCTATTTAGAATTGTTTATTTCTTCTAAAGTATGAAGGTTCTATGGTAGGATATAAGTACTGCGACTTCATAACTTCTGTATTTTTTGCCCATGATATCCCCAGTGTATCATTGGTAGTTAAGTTTTTGTTGAATGAATGCAGATGACTTGTGCCAGACTGATACACCGATGATATGCACTGATGTTCAAAAACTCCTCTTTAGCTGGTATGTTAAGCTAAAATTCAAGTCAAAAGTTAGGTTAAAATGTAACTGGAATCAGTTTTAGCCATCGATTCAGCTTCTAAATAATCAATAAGGACAGGACTGTGGTCACTTGTTCCACCGGTAGTTCCAGTTAAAAAGATTTGAGAGCTTTAGTGTACAAAATCAGTAAGAGTCAAGGTACAAGTTTAGACTGTTTTAATAGAAGAGTAGTTTCTCGATCAAGTCCAGATGTCACTACCTTGTACTCTTAAGTGGTTAAACCTTCCCTGGAGTATTGAAGTTAATAATTAGATGTCACATTCTTAGTCACTTTCTTGTAGCTGGAGCAAAATGCCACAGCTTAAAGGAAGAGAGTTTTTTTTTAACACTACATGTGATTTTTATGTAGTGATTTTTATTTATTTGCAAGTTATAATAGCCATACATCATTCAGTTTTATTGTTCATTTTACAACAAAATATCAATATATATTTTGATATCAATAGGATATTCATGCAAGATGTAGGGAGTATATACATTGAATAAAAAAACAGTCCAGAAGTCAATATATATGCACATTATTTACATATTAACTATATTTAGGTAAAGAGAAATGGTTTCTAAAGAAAAAATAAGAAAACAAGAAATCCCAACTTGTGGTTTCTGGTCTATAATTGACCTAACTCTCAGCAAAACATATCTGTGTAGATATATGCATTTGTAACTTCCAAAATAGGCACTGCCTAAGATGAAGCATTAAATGTGCCTCAGTATGAACAGTTCTTACTTTGATTCCATTAGGTGCCACATCAAACCACTTGACAGTGTTTCAGGAACCTGAAGATATAGTGGCTTGTGTGGGTCCAGGGTCAGTCCAAATAAATCTCAAATGATAACCAGGGCACAGCAAGACAGCTAGAGAGGCTGTGAAGCTTCCATTTTCCTCCAGGGGCTCCTCCTCCGAATGGGCTACTGCCTTTAGTCTCTGGAGGAAAGGCTGTCCTGGCCAGAGTTGGGACTGGTAACTTAAGACGGAGTGCAGACCCTCAGGTGGGGAGGCCAAGGAGCACGGCTAAGCCTCACTGCCCCTGTAGTGGGGGGAGGAGACAGTCTTACTTCTAGAAAACCTGGTGGAAGCCAGTCTCACAGTCAGCAGCCTACCTACCTGGCTCAGTCAGCATAATGGCAGATGCCTTAGGGTTAATATAATCACATGAAACCCGAGAATTAGGTGATTGTATATAATATTTTTTTGAAGGCAAGTTACTTAAGATTCTGAGCACCAGGACCTTCTGCATGATCCCAGGTAACAGCCATCGGGCAGAGTTGGCCCACAAGTGACCATGGTGATGAAAGAGTCAACATCAGGTGACTCCATGCTCACTTCTCTCAACACTAAGACAGAATGCTCCACATCCCCAGGGCCACGCCTGGGTTAGACAATCAGGAGAGAGGAAGTGGCAAGTCCTCATGTGAAATGCTGACCCAACGCTACTGCAGTCCCTATTAGGGCTGGCCCAAGGGAGGCTCACAGTGTGGAGGCATCATAGTTGGTAAGAGTCTGGGCAGCACTTGTACATGGCAGATGGGAGCCACATTGCATGTACACCAATTAGCCATGTCAAGGTAACCAACCTGTCTTGCTCAAACACTAAAGTTTTAGAACTGAGGTACCAGTAAAGTAACAGCATAGAAGCTTGGGAATAAGTTTTATAAATCATGAGTCTAATGCAAAATGGAGAGCTTACACCCCAAGGTCAGCCACCCTAAGGCAAAGGGTCCATCAGTGTACCCATGGGAAGATGTATTTCTGCTGTTTAGAACAAAACATAAGAGCATTCAGTCTGAGGTTTGCATTTCTGGACTTAGTTTTGCTCAGGAATACAAAGGACCTCCAAAGGATGCAAACACTGGGTGCACCTGCACATACAGGGTAGGGGAGCGAGTCTGGGCAAGCACGGTCACCAACCAAACAGCCCATGTACAGAGTTAAAGAGGGCCTAGGTGTTATGCACAGGCACCCCAAAGATGCAAATGAATCTCCCCGGAAGGGAGACTGTGTCACCCAGTGCCCTTGTCTTTGCCCAGTTCGTATAGTCACAATGACATGACCGTGGATTCTTCCTTCAGTCCATGGCCAAAATATCACCTGTTTGTTTTATGTCCAGGGCCACCAAACAACCTCCCAATCATGGAGCTTCACAGACTTACCCAAGTTTAGCTTTGGTCACAGAAAACCCTAAGTGCCACGCACCTTCAGCTATGGCTTGCTCTCTTCTTACTCACAAGGATAGCTCAAGTCTGAGAACATAGTACTACAAGAGGAAGGTGGTAGATTATTGCTAGTTACTTACATGTGTGGTCATTACATTAAGAAGTCTGATTATGTCAGTAAGATAAGCATTTTGCCAAAGGTTTTAAGTAGCAGTGGGTGCTGTCAAAAGCTTATCTAACTCATGTAGTCTGTGAACCCAGGGAAAATTGTTTGTGTGAGCTGGAAATGTTCGGATACAAGCAGTTTCCTGTGACCCAATCTGCAGATGATCTGCCCAAGGAAAGAGCCGCATTTCCTAGGATTCAGCAGTTACAGGACAAAGAGCCCCAAATTATATCCATATCTTACTGACTGGTTTTAGAAAATAATGTATTTGTAGGGCCAAACAGTCTGAGAGAGGGTTGTAGGGCATATCACACCTGGAGGCCCCCAAGTATACTGGTCATCCAAAACTCCAAGTGTCTCCTTTCCTGGAGCTGCATACTGCACCTGCTCAGTAGACCAGGACCTCTGCAGCTCCCGGCCACGTACCAATGCCCCCACAGCCCTCCCTTTGGACTCTCTCTCTCTCGATATATATCTATTTCAGTGAACAATATATGTTTGTGTCCAGGAGTTATATTTATAGCTGTATCTTTCATTACAATATCAAGATATAAAGAGTAATAGAAAAGCTATAATCCATATATCTGAGAAAAATTCTGAATAAAAATGTTTTAGTGTTTCCTTTCCTAATTTGATACAGAACGGTGGCTTCTCAAATGATCACCGACATTGTCCCAGCGGGCAGGTGAGAGGCAGGACCAGGTGGATGTCCCCAGGAATCTCCCTCCACTGGTGCACCCACACTGGCAATGTTCTGGGCTCCTGGCTTCTCCCACAGGAGCTGGGTGGCAACAGTAGGAAACACAGCTGCCAATGATCCAAGCTGCACACAGCACAGGCTTTGAGGTGTGAAGTCAGGGCCATAGGTAGTTCTGGAGACCACTGCAGCCTGTGGAGGTGCAGCCTCCCTTTTGTTTAGGGGCAGCCACCAGTCATGTGCTCTGGGGCTCAGATCTTTAGTTTACCTGCAGAGCTAGGACAACTCTATTTCTTTTTAGCAATCCTTCTTTTCATTCCTACCAACATGTCATGGAAAGGATCCCTACTGATGCTTGCTTTGATGGATTCCATCCACTCCTCCTTCTGCTCAGGGCTTGAGGCTGAGATGTGATACACCATGTGCTTTCCCTCCACCACCTGGCCACCAGCTTCTACCTTGCAGGCTTTGATGACTTTCCCTTTGCAGTTGGGATGGTAAAGCTCCAAGCAGTTGGGTTTCCATGGGCCTTCCACCTCTCTGATGCTGAGGTTTTCCAGGGGAATGATGGCCCTAGGCACCTTGTCTGTGGTGTATTCAAAGTAATAGAGGCAGCCATGGTCAGGATGAGGCAGCGCAGCTTCCAGGTCTTTACGCACTCTCCCAGCTTCAGGAGCCAGCCTTCCTGGTCTGGTTTGAAGAATGTGTGTGTCATGCCATTCCCATCATCCCCTGGGATTTTAAATGGTTCATTCTTCATACTCTCATATAAGTTCCCCAGCAGCTTCTTTTTTTTTTTGGTTTTTCTCTGGTACCGGGAACTGAACTCACGACCTTGCGTTTGCCAGGCAGGTGCTTTTTGCCGCTGAGCTAAACCCCCAGCCCCTCCCCAGCAGCTTCTCAGGGAGGTCTTTCCCATCACTGATGCCACAGTTCATGATGATGAGTTGGGCTTGTGTGTTGGTTTGGGGCTTATTTTGCAAGGGGAACAATATAATACAAGACACATACTTTATATGATTATTTATAGTAGTCACCCAAAGAACAGTATACAAAATAGTGCAGGAAATCTGTCCACACACTAAGACCAAGGAATCCAGCTGAGGGCCTGGATCCCACAACAATGTCCTACTTGAGTAGAGCTGAATACCCAGAGCTCATAACAATGCCTCCCTCGAATCCAACTGGAGGCCCAGAGCCCATGACAACATCTCATGCAGACCTGTTTCACAGATCTGCTGGGAAGGCCCAAAGGTCAGTGGTGGAATCTATGAAGTCTGTGCCAGCAGGATGAAGGACCTGTGCTAGCAGGCTGAGGGATCTGCACTGGAGCCAGGAAGTGATGCTCAGAAGAACCAGAGCTCCCCCAAAAGGTACCACAGCCTTCCTTGGCAACGGTGAGGTCCCAAGCTCCTCCGATGATCAGGATGGCCAAGTTCTCATCAGGAAAGCCAACACAGCAAGCTTTTCCAGGAGGCTGGTAGTCCATCATCTTCCCCTCCGGAACCACGAAGTGATTCTCAAAGTGAGGACCAGAGCTCTCCAAAGTGAACTGAAGCCATTCTCAGTGCCAGTGAGGTCCCGAGCTCCTCGGAGGATGAAAATAGCCAAGCTCATCAGGAAAGCCAGCTTCCCACAGCCTCTCTCAGCTCCCAACAGCCTGCTTCTTCTTCTCCAGGTATGCCTTTATGCTGTTGGCAACAGTCCTCAGGAAGGCCTCCCACACCCAGCACCACACTTACTCCGTTCAGCTGGGGGTTATAAGTTGACCACCAGTTATCAATCCACTACAGCTTATCATGTGCATTGTGGTTGTGGAGGCTGGTGTTGAGCATGATGATGGCAAATGACAGCATATAGCACCTGTCTGTGGACTGGAAGACGCTAGGGTTGCACAGGCAGTAGTGCCAGGCAAAGGCCTCTATCATGCGATCCATCTTCTGAGCATCCCCCAGCAACCTGAAACTCCACAGGAACTGCCTTAAGGCCTGCACGAGGTTGAGATGAACAAACTCCTGGAGCTGAACAAACGCTTGAAGAACTTTGATATTAAATTCATCACTCTCACCCATGACCTTCTTATTTAGGCCTTTTCCTTTATACAGGAACAGGGCAACATCTTCTGGGAAACTCTGTAGCAGGTCATATGCTACCAGAAACTGAATTCCCTTTTTGGAGTCCATGTTGAATTTCTTTCTTCCTATGGCTATTTGCTTGTTCTTCTGAATAGTTTTGCTCTCCTCCACTAAAGCTAGGTTATCAACATCTGTCATCATCTCTTCAGTTTCATAGTTCAGCTTCTCAGTGTCATCAGTAAGTTCCTGTTTTCTTTGAGGAACATCCGAATATTCTTCTCTCTCTTCTAATTAACAGCTTTTAGGGCCTCCACCATCTTCCTCCATCTTGAGGCTGATCCTGGGCAAGCCCAGGCGGTGGAGGAGGGGCCGGGGCAGTAGCACATCTGAAGCCACAAGGGTGACCTGGCTCACAGGGTTAGAAGTTTCAGGCCCAGACTCAGCAAGCTCCAAGGCAGAAACAGCATGGTGGGAGGCCCTGGGTGGGGGAAAACTGCCCACATAAGGGCAGCAGGGAAGCAGAGTGAAGGGAGGAGCCGGGGAGGGAGAGTAGGCAGGCCTCCAACCAGGCCTCACCTCCCACAGCTCTCTTAACTGCTGCTCAATGGATTATCTGCTCAGTACTCCCATGATCCAATTACCTTCCACACCCACGTGGCTTTTGTCAGACATGCCAGATCTGAACCATATGACACATTTTAAGAGGAACATTAATAAACTAGACCATGTTCATGAGATATGAAGTAAGTTGATTAAGAGACTAAATGCTATAATACATTATCCCTTAGAAACAGTCAGACTACTTAGCTAAAACGATCCGCCAAAAGTGACACCAAGGATGATTAGATGATATTTTGAATGTCATCAAAATTTTACAGTGATAGTGGTATACATAACGTACCTCACCAGAAGAGCCAGGAGAGTGAAAAGAAGTATTCCCAGCATGGAACACCCTATTCCCATCACCGAAGTAGGAAAATGCTCTTCCAATCATTATTTTCCTCAAATGACAAATGAAATTATCTTTAGTTTCAAGTAAAGATCATAAATGTGGTGTGATCAAAATATACTGTACAGGGAATGTTTAAATTTTAAAATGTATTACAATAAAGGATGTACTGCCATTAATAGCCTTTCAGAATACCTCCTCTCTACTGCTTTCAACACACTCATCCCATCGTCCTTACCACTTTCTGAAGCAGTGCATTTAAAGAAAGGGGGAGTATTTTGAGAAAAATTAATGATAATGTCTTTTACTGTAATAAAATTTTACAGTTAAGCATTCATCATAGTTTTTGATCATACCTTGTGTATGTTATTAACCCAAGTAATCGTGGCCTCATCAGCAATGTTAAATCTATGAGTATGTTTTCTGTTGCTTCAAATCATTAATAAGAATTTTATGACAATAGAAGCAATACGTAGATGTGCCTTTCCCTTGAACAACACATTATTAATACCACAGAGAATATTATTCTTTTTAGATACAGAATTGTTTTCACTTATGCTATTATCAAGCCTTATTTTATTCAACTTGTATATGTAAGTATAATTTGAAAGGGTGATTTGTTCTATGTATGAGTTCCTTTTATATGCTAGGCTCCTAACACTACTTGGCCCTACCATTTTTCCAGGACAGAATAGTACTCTGTTTTCCTGTTTGTTTGTTTCTTTGTTTTGCAGTGCTAAGTATTGAAACCCAGGGCCTTGGGCAGGCAAAACTCTACCACTGTGCTACATCCCCCACCTCCAGTGTCCTTTGTGAAATTTGGAAGATCTCATTTTCCACAACTTCTCAAAATGATGATAAGGATTCTGGGGTCTTCTTCTAAGTTCTTTCAGGTCACTATAACATTGCAACTGAACTAAGGAGAGAGAAACTAAGGTGCAAGAGGCAGGCAGCTTCCAGGGGACAGACAGGCTCTATTTTGCACACCCATGCTGGTCCCCGGGTGATGTCTACCCAGGGCCCTGTACTGTGCAGGCTTCCTAAACCTCACCCCAACTCAGCAAGATGTGCCTTGAGCAATGGCCTCGGCAAGAGCAGTGGCTGCGGGTGAAATCAGTATTCCCATCCAGCACTTGATGGTTTCTTGATATATTCTTTTTAAGTGTCCTGAGCCTTACTTTCTTTCTAAGCATCACTTTGCACCTTTCATTTTGAATATTTTTTCTAGTGGAAAGAAGAAAAATTGAAGGTGATCACTTCTGTTGTTTATTAACTGCACATCTCTGAACAATTTACCTAATACTATTCTGTAAGTTTCAGTTTCAATAGGTATAAAATTTTCTTATGCTACATTCATATAGTTGTAATTTTGTAAACGATCTTGGTTCTCTTAACACTTTTCTTCCTGCCCAAGGATTTTCTCTCTTCTTTCCCACCCCTGTCCCTCTCTCTTTGCCCACTCCCTCTTCCTCTCCCTCTCCCCCTCCCTCCATCTTTCTTTCTTTTCAAATTCCAGTGGGTGTTGCTGTTGGTGCCTGTAATTCCAGCACTCTAGGAGGCTGAAGCAGAAATATCACAAGTTGGAGCCCAGCCTGGGTAATTTAATAAGTTGGTAAGACCCTGTTTCAAAATTTAAAATAGCAATAAAAAATGCTGGGGATGTAGACCAGTGAAAAGGCCCTAAGGTTCAATTCATACAGAGGCAAAATTTAAAAAAAGAAAAAATAAAAAAACCTCACCAGACTCACTTTCATATTCCCGTGGAACCAACCCCTTACTTCAGGTTATATTTCTGACCTCATCTCACCCCTGGAACCCCAGTCCTTGGATTGTCCTGCAGTCCCAGGCATCTTTGTTGAAAATTTAGGTGTGAATTCCCAGTGTCCCAGTTCTTTCTGCCGTATGATCTTAAGCCAACCCCTTTTACTCTTGTCCTGGGCTTTTCCTGACACCCTCACCTTGGCCAGTCAACATAACTTCCTTGAGAGGAAAGGTCAGAGAGTGACCTGAGGTCAGCAGTCATGTAAGTGAGAACAAAGGCTCTGTCAAGGGCTGAATCATTAGAAAATAGTCTCAATCTTAAAATGTAGTATATTTTAAGACAGCGTAAATTTAAAAAAACATTCTGAGGGAAAAATAATACATGTGCCCTTGGAATTATATGGCATTTGATTTCAGAAACATTAAAATGTTTTAAAAAGCATGTCTCAGATCAGGGAAATGCATTTATCTCTTAACATTCTTCCACATGCCACCCAAACTCCTATGCATCTGCCTTTTTGTTCAACAGGTTGCCTAACAGGCTGGATTTGGTGGGGGGAAATAAGGAATTCACTTTGTTTTTCTCCCACCTTGGCCTTAAACCCATTTATCCAGCTCTCCGCTCACCAGGCCCTGGGCAGATCTTGCAGAGGTCTGGTCACTTTCAAATGTTAGAAAGGCCAATGTAATCAAATCAAACCTTTACCCTCTAATTCAACAGAAGCATCTCCCATCTGCCACCCTAGTCCAGGTTCCACTGCTCCATCTTCCTATCCTTTCATCACTCTCTGCTACTTCTGCTTCTCCAGGGCAGAGCCATGCTCTGCTGATTGCGCTTCTCTGACTTTGTGGTGCTCTCTCTTGTTGCCAGTGTACACACCCGGACATTTCTCCTGGAGCCCTTTGGTAGGGCTTTAGGGATGCTGTTCCCCACTATCACTGCCTGCCCTTCAGCCCCCACCACACAACTCTCCCACATTGTGTGTATTCCTGGACACCATCCCCAGCAGAGGTGCTGTACTTTCAGGGGAATTGCTGGGATGCTACTCAGCCCTCCCTTGTCTACTGCTGGGCTCCCTTCCCTCCAGAAGCAGCCCTCACAATTCTGTCGACAGGGTGCTTACATCACTCAGGTGCCCACCCGCCTCTCTCATCAGTGTGAGCTTCAGCCAGTTCCCTGCCTTCAGACTGCTGCTTCTGGGGAGAGTCAGGAAGCTCACACACAATAACCACATTTGAACTCTCCCAGGGACTCCTCCGTGACCCATTTGGCCCAGAATTGGGAAGGCTCCTAAGTTTGTATACCTAAGCCAGCTTGTGGCCAGCAAGTAAGGCACAAGCCTCCCTTCCTGGAAAACAATATTCACCTAATAGATCTCCAGAGGCCCCTCTTTATTTATCCAAATGGCTGTAATGGTATTTGGAGGAGAGGGGGAGGTGAAGGGACCACAGCTCTACATAATTAGAAGAATCTTTCTTCTCTTCTTCCTGTGGAGGACCACCTGGAGGGCTCTCCTTGAAAGAAGAGCATTTAGCCCTGCTTCTATGAATTGATATGTACAGAGCTGGCTAGGATATTTCTTTATCTCCTCAATTGGCTTTAAGCAATGCAAATGGGTCTAACTGAGGTGTCTTTAAAGCAATGCCACAGGTCAGTGATGCGCTGCCCATAGCTCCCAAGTAGTATGTATAACCTAGGCCCAGTGACTCCATGCTTTCAGCTGAGATTGAGCTTGAAGAAGGAGCCCTTGACATCTCAGGGCATGCTTATTATACATCAAAACTGACGCACTGATCTCAAAGCACTAGCTACTGTCCCAGTCTGTGATATGCAGGTTACTCCTCCTGCATATCTCTCTCTCTGGGTATTGCAGAGATAATTTCAGGCCTTCTCCCTAGCCCAGAGCACAGCACTCACATACTTCCCACCTTTCTCTCAGTCACTCATCCTTGAGCCACTTGCCTCTTCACGAATTAATAAAACCTGGGTTTGGCCCTGAGTAGAGACCTTTGTTCCAGTTAGCTATTCATCTGACTAGACTTAGGACCTCCTTGGCTCCCTACCATTTTAGATATGTATTTGTGTCTTTATTTTTACCATGAGTCTCACTGGAAGTGGTAGATTGGAATTAACTTACTGGAATTCCAATAACTTTCCTCTGGTATTACAAATATAAATATCGCCAGACCGAGGCGATAGGTCCGAGAAGGGATTTCTGTACTTCCTATGCATACGGTAGGTCCTCTCAGACCCACGGAGCACTCAGCCTCTTCTGTTAGGATTCAAGGTGATTGTGGTTGTTCTATTTCTCTAGAATGTGAAAGGATACTTACCACTCATTGTTCACAAGGAAAAATAAGACAGAGGAGTCTTATTTTACTTTTATTACATTCTTCCAGTTTCATAAACTTGGAGCATGTCCTATGGGCCAGATATTGACCCACATATTGGAATTACAAAGGTGAACAAAGCCATACCCCACACCCCCAAACAGTCAGAGCTCCTGGTAGAATTCATCAAAATGGATGAATTAGCAAAACGCAAGCAGTAGTTAGATGGCATCTCTGGAGCTTGGGTACCTGGCTTGGAATTCTGACTCAGCCATTTACTCACAGCCTGACTTTTGGCAAACTGCTTTAACTATCTGCAGCTCTATTTCTGTACCTGCGTAATAGAGATAATCATATTAGTTGAGAATTGTGATAAACAAACAAATTCAAATGTAAGTTTTCAGGGTGGGAGCCCAGCCCACAGTGGAGCTCTTCAAAATACGATATTTTTCTTGCTGGTTCATCAACTTCCGTTCAGCCTAAGCCTTCACTTTCCTTCCTGCAGGCTTCTCCTTTGCATATGGTTCTGCTTGTGGTGGTCTTCCAGCTCATGTTTATATCTTTGTAGAACCCAGTTTAAAACACTAAATACTCACGTATCTCTCCTTAGGACCTGTCCATTTTACTTTCAATCAAGATACTTGCTATGATTCTATGATTCAGTGTTTCATATCCCACTGCTGTGGTTTGAGAGTAACCCCACCCAATTCATGTGTTGGAAACTTGATTTGAATATGTCCCCCCAAAATTTATGTGTTGGAAATTCAATTCTTTAGTGCAGTAGTGTTGGGAAGTCAGAATCACCTTGGGAGGTGATTAGTCATGGGAATGGAGCACCCCTGAATAGAATAATACCTTTTCTTCAGAAATAGTTTGGCTCTTAAGGGTCTGGCCCCTTTTCTCTTCTGTATGTACCACTTGCCATTCTGCTTTCCTCCACAAGCTGAAGTAGCACAATGCTCTCACCAGATGTGGTCACCCAATCTTGGCCATCAGCTTCCAAAACTGTGAGCTAAAACAAACCTCTCTTCTTAATAAATTACCTGGTGTCAGGTATTCTGCAATAGCGAACAGAGAAAAGTATAAAATAACAGAGAGAACACTAAGACAACCACTCTTCCTTTGGGTGTTCCTTATGGGTACATTTCACATGCACATTTCACCCTTTGCGGTCTCCTTTCTTAAAATATAAAGAACACATCTCATCGGGCCATGTGTTCTCCTCAGAATACACAGATAAAGTTCCAAACAGTATCCCTCATGTTGTTTCCTCTCTCTGCCAAGAAATAGATCCAGGAGTAAAACAAACAAAATTTAGCATAATTAGATTTCTAGATGTGGTCCTACCAAAGAATAATATTTCGATATGGTCTGACTGCTATAGTGGTTTCATAAATTGTGACTGTAAAGGAATACTAAGATTATACTCTTCATGAATTGAAATTTGAGTGAAGCCCTCAAAGCTGAGAACTATCTTTAAGAGGGCACTAGATCATTTTTGTGGGGTCAGCAGAGAGGGTGAGGAGTCCAAAGCTCATTCTGCCACCCACCGCAAGAGTTTGAAAGAGAAGTCCAGGGATTTATTAGGAAGGTAAAACAACCAGGGGCAAAGATCAGTTTGGAGAGGACTGGGTAAAGTCAGGATCCCCACCACCTCCATAACCTGTTATGGGGGCAGGGAAGAGTATATTTCCCCCTCATTTTAGAATGACTAGGGTTTCAGAGACCATTTAGAGGTCTTTATCTGTATGGCTCAGAATTGGATAGGTACAGATCCACCCTAAGATCTGTTTTGCATTTGTAAAGCCCCTCAACAATATTGTGGTTGGAACTTCCCTTGTAAACCACAGTAAGGAGACAGAGCTTGAGAGGTGAAGGTACTGTTAGGGTTTGTATCTAGAGCTTCACGAGCTCATAGGCAGGAATTCAGGAAGAGGATTGAATCACGGGATGGATGTAGCTGGCTTGCTGTTAGGAAGTGGGGCCTGGCTGGAGGGAGTGGGTCAGTTGGAGCGTGATCTGGAAGGCTCCATCTCCATCTCACGCTCCTCACTTCTGTCTCTCTTCCTGGCTACTCTGAGAAGAGCAGTTTTCTTCCACGCAGGACTTTTTGCCATGCTGTTGCCATTTCAAGCCTACCAAACATGGACTGAAACTTCTGAACAGTGCCCCAAAATGAATCTCTTCTCCTTTAAACTGCAGATGTCAAATATTATGTCCCAGCAACAAGAAGAGTGGTGAAGACAGGTACCCTGCATGGATCGCACCAGGGTTGACAGACAGTAGGCAGGTGAGTGGGGAGCTAGAGAAGACTTTGTTGGTCAGATTTCTATGCCTGTGATAAAATACCTGAGATAAACAACTTATAAGGAGGAAATGTTTATTTTGGTCCATGATTCCATAGGTTTCATTCTGTGATTGAGTGGCTCTGTTGCTATTGGGCCTGAGATAGAATACTATGGTGGGAACATGTAGTGGAGGAAACTGCTCAATTCACAGTGGCCAGGAAGCAAACAGAGATAGACAAGAGAAGGGATCAGGATCCCCATACTCCCTTCTAGGGCATGACCACAGTGACTTAACTTTCTCTCGTTAGGCTCCGCCTCCTAAAGATTCCATCCTATCTCAATAGCACCAAAGGCTGTGACCCAAACCTTTAATATCTGGCCTTTGGGAGACATTTAAGATCCAAATTGTAAGGAACTGGGGATTTAGCTCAGTTAAAAGAAGTTGCAGATGGAGATTCTCATGATGTTAAGTGAAGTGTCAAGAGCAGACCCCAAAGAACCCATAGAAGTGCTGCACATGAGGAAGAATCACTGTGAGAGCAAGCTGCAGTAGGGACAAGCTGAATGGTCCCCTTCTTATACCTGCCTGCTCTTCCTCTCACTTTCTCTTGTTCTGGAGAAGCCAGGACAGAGGGGGAGAAGTGAAAACAGTGATGAAGGCAACTATGCCTCCTTATGGCACTGCTGGCTCCTAAACTTGTGCTAGGCCCAACCTAGTGAGCAGGAAGGAGTTCAAATTATATGACAAATTTGAGTTTGAGATTGAACTAGACATTTTTAGTATGTGATAAATGAGGCTATTTGTTATTTCCATAGGGTCTGCCTGGATTTCATGTAGGAGCCAAGAAGCACCATTCAGCTTAGCACAGGGAAAGAAAATAATTGCTCTGCTTGTTCTCTATTGAGTCCAACTCATTTAATGAAACAACAACTCAGTAATAAGAAAGTAGAGCCTGTAACCTCCATCTAGATGGTCTGAGATGTGCAATACAATTTGGTGGTAGCACTGGGAGCAAGATTTTTTCACTTAGAAGTTCTTATACATTAGGAAACCCAGCCCTGGAGAGGCAGCCTTTTAATTATCCCTTCTTTTAGTTTTACCCCCTATGCTTTGGCTATCCATCATCTTGAAAAATAGATGCCATAACACCAGGATGAATTCCTCTGCCACTTTTAGCAAAGAACTGAACACATGGACGTGATAGACATAGGAATTATTTGGCAAAGACTGAAGCCAAGGAGTGAGAAAGAAACAGCCGCACCAGGAGATGGACCCTACCACAGGGAGATTCCCACCCATTTCGTTCAGCACTTCCAGATGGGCGAGAGCAGGTGGGCAAACTCAGGAAGCACTTGCAGGGGCTCCTGTGGACCCTGAAAGGCTGGAGTAAGCAGAGGAAGAAGGAAGGAAGAGGAGCAGTGGGGATCTAGCCAGGCAAGTGTCTGAGAAAGCCAGAAGCATTCTGGTATCAAGTTTCCAGACCTAGCAAAAAAAAAAAAAATACAAGACACCTAGTCCTTTCTTTTATGTGGTCACTTTTCTTCAGAGGATCTGGTAGATGAGGGGAGACAGAGCACTATTTGTAGTGTTTGCTGCTGTTGCCAGGAGAGTCACCAACAATTAAAGGAAGAAAGTGAAACTCTGTAGAAACATATACTCTCTATATGAATCTGAGAAAAGGCAAACTTTAGTGATAGTAAGATGGATCAACTTTCGTCACCAGGAAACTAAATTATAGTGAAGAAATATTGTGTGCTTTGGTGATAGAAAGGGCCCCAGAGATAGCAAATTTATATTATTTGCTTTAAAGAAATATGGCTTGAATATGACATTGTAAAGCATATTAAAAAGTAGGGCCATCCAGCCTTTAATTTAATTTTGAGTCAAATAATCAGGGTGAATGTATTCCTCAGGCAGCACATAATTTTAACCTCTTATTACACAAAGCTGACAATTCAATTTAAATCGTGAGGCTATGTTTGTTCAGCATGATTAATTTTAATGATATTTAGCATTTACTGGATCTCCTAAAAGGTAGAGCATCTTGAAATTTTTTCACAAGTTGCTTCAAATATTTTTCAGATCCTTCTTAGCCAGTGAGAGCCCACAGAGGCTTTTGAAAATCTCACAGACCCACATGCTGAATTGGTAGCAGTGTTCGAAGGGAGATTTTCATATCAATGAATTCCTATTGCAGAAGAAGTTCTTGTTGCTACTCCAGGGGCTCCCGTCACAGGCATCTCCCAGCCCTCATCATGTGACGCCAGCACCAGGACATGTCACAGAGAAAAATAAAGCTACTCTCGCCTCTCCAATATTTGAAGTTCTGTCTAATTGAGCAGGAAGAGCCTTCACTGCTCCTACTCCCCCCGTCCCACCCTCATCTCAGAGGAGCCTTCAAAATTCTGAAAAATGATCCTGAGCATACTCTAGGATAACAGGTAGCAGCGCACATACAAATAATCACAACCCACGACACACCCCGGCAGTTGGGACAGAACTGAAATACATCTTGGGGATAAAGAGAAACCAGGAGCCCAGATGGAGAGAGTGATTTGCTTAACATCAGCCAGAGAGGCCAAAGAGATATTCCAGAAACCTGGACCACAGAAATTAAGTTTTTAATGAGTAAATTACTGGTTGGGGCCAGGCTACCAAAGGTAATAGTTTACTGAGCTCAGGGGCTTTTCTTTGTTTTCTCAGCCTTCTGTCCCACCGTGCCTGTCCCCAACTGTCTCACGGGTGCTCCCTGTGCATTGTGGGCCAGGTGCCTGCAGGTGTCTAGGGATTCCCTGAGGCCAACAGCATCCACTGCATCCATTTCAAGCTTGACAGTAATTCTGAACTCATGCTATAAATTTACACACTTTATTCAGTAAATCTGAACATCCAAACTCCAGGCTTAGTTTCGTTTTTAATTGAATTTTCTTAAGTGGAAGTGCCCATAAATTTGTGTTGTCATCAGTACCTTAAAGTTCAAGTTCCTGCTTGAAAAACAAATTGTGATTGCTCCAGAGATTTTTCTCACCAGCTCTTCACAGTCTCCAAAGCCACCATCTTAGCATGTGTCTCTGCTGATTCGCCTTTTCCCGCTGCACCTAAATTGGGCCTTCTGACACTCTTTCCATTTCTCAGACCCCAGACTCTCTGAAGAATAGCAGAAGCCTTCAAAGGTGGGAGAAGCTATCCTTCCGAAGATACCATGTGCAAATACCACCAAAAAGGTCTTTCTGTGCTCTCCCTAGAAGCAGGCATATGATGCAGACATACGTATGCATAGTATTAACACTCAAAGCAGTAATAATTAACTTATACTGAGCTCTTACTCTACTTGGCCCTATTTAAAGTACTTCATATATGAAAATCTGTTTAATCAAAATTACCTAAAAGTGAGTGGACTATTGCTATTCCTGGATGTGCCATTGCTATTTCCATTTTTTCAATGAGGAAGCAGGCCCTGAGGCTCTCCTAGTGTGACAAAATTAGTTCGTGCCAGAATCAGAATCAGAACCCCAGCAGGATGGTTTGACACTATGTTGTCAATCATCAGGCTCCCCTGTCTATCCCCTACTGTGGTGCATGGGAGTCTAGGTGAGCTCACTACAGAACTGGAAAACCGAGGAGCCCTATCCCAGAGTGAGTGTCCTGCAAAACCAGGCCAGATGGACTGTAAGCAGAGGATGCATGGCCTGCCCTTCCCACCCCAAGGCAGCTACTGTCTGGAAATAACTATTTATGGAGTTTAATTAACAGTACACAGCAGTGCCAAGAACAATAGGAACTCCATGGGTGGATGCCTTCGGGTTGAAAATCAGAATTGAGGGGCCTCCCTTGCCATATTTCAAGCTGCCATAGTTAGCAATGGGAGGAGTGGCACTTGCTGGGTCTGGGCAGGTGAATGGCCTGGATTAATTACACAGATGGATCACTTTGCTCAAAAGAAGCTTGTGGATGGTTTGATGGAGTGGCTTCTGCAACCATAAAATCAGGTGATAGATGGCTCTCTCCAAGCTAAATGGGGCCCTGAAGAGACTAAGCTCAGATACAATGTGAAAATGATATGAATGAATTTCACCAGGTGGGGGAAAACTCCATGTGATGCCTATAAGTAGTGATTTCTTGCCAAGGATGCTGGATTTAACTGTCAAACTATGGAAAAGTTCTCTTGACAGAGTGCCCATGGGCTGTGGGAGAAGCACTGGCTTGGGACATACAGAAGATTAAAGTTTGGGGTCAGTGTCCTGAAAAGATCCAAGAATACGTGTGGTGTTAAGGAGGGGTCTTTGCAGGTCTGTTTGTTTATAATCAAGATGTATTTGCAGAGCCAGTTCATTTCATGTCCTTAGCACAATCATAAGCTCAGGATCTCCTTCCTCTGCCATGGGAGGTGACAGCTGGCCAGCTGAGGGTGCAGGCCAGGCTGTCATCTTTGGGGTCAGCACTCCTCACCAGCCCACCCGCATCACTCACTTCTGCTAAGCTTCCACTTCTGCCATCCATGTGGTGACTGCTTCAGGGAGGGGGCTGGGCATGAAGACACATGTGCAGCCATAGCCCTACACCTGACTTGTGGCAAGACGGCAGTGAGCAGCCCCTCGAGCCTCCCTGTGAAGAAGGATAACCCACAAGCTGTTTTGGGGATGGAGACAGTGGGTTTGGACAGCACCTGCAAGCCTAGTGTGCTGTGGAAGGCTGGCTTCTGTGGTTAGCAGAATGTGGCAGCCTAATTTATCCCGGGTCTGTTTTCTACCTGTGGTCCTTCAAGTACCCCATTTGATTTTTTGCTTGTTTTTATTGTGCTATTAAATAAATATATACAACATAAAGTTCATCACTGTAACCAGTTTTCTTCCCCTTACCCTTGTTCAAGGTTGGGTTAAATTCCAAAAAGCAGTATCATGTACACATCAGGAACTTAGTCTATAACCATTTTTAGGTGCACAACTCAATGGCATTGACTACACCGACAGCGCTGTACAACCATCACGATTATGCATAGCCAGGGCTTCTTCACTGTATCAAATTGAGACTCAATGGCCATTAAACAGTAATTCCCCATTCTTCTCTCCTTGCTCCTCCTCCACCCTGGGAACCTCTATCCTACCACCTACAATTTGCCTAGGAGGTACCTCATGTTAGGGAAATCATGTAACATTTGTTCTTTTATGCCTGGCTTATTTCATGCAACATTATGTTTTCAAGATTCATCCACGTTGTAGCATGTAGCAGAATTTCCTTCCTTTTTCAAGCTGAATAATACTCCACTATACGTATATACACACACATTTTGCTCATCTGTTCAGTCTCTGACAGACACTTGGGTTGTTTCCATCTTCTGGATATTGTGAATAATGCTGCTATGAACATAGAGTAAAGAATCAATTTGAGTCTCTTTTTTAATTGTTTTGAGTCTTTACCTAGAGTGAAATTGATGGGTTTACGTTAATTGCTGGATTCTATGTTTAACTTTTGGAGAACTGCCAAACTGGTTTCCACAGCAGCTGTACCATTTCACACTATAGTCAGACGTGCACAAGAGTAGCAACTTTGCCACACCCTCAGGAATACTGATTCTTTTCCATTTTTTAACAATAGCCGTCATACTGGGTGTGAGATGGCAACTCTGCTTGCTTGGAAGAGTGCTGGTTGTATCTCCATGTGCTAAGAAACCCAAGGGAGGTTGGCTGCCTACTGTGGAAATTCTGGCACATCAGGGAGCACGTCCGTCTTGGAAGTCCTTTTTATAAAAGATTTTTTCCAAAGCAAAATGGTTTTCCAGAAAAGGTATGGGAAAATCACTTGGGAACATAGTCACTTGGTAATTCTAGTTATTTGCTTAATTATTCATCCATTCATTCTTTTACTCATTCATTTGTTTCATACTTATTTAATACCTTTTATAGCAGGAAGCAGGGAGGAATTGTACTAAAGGCTATAGTAATCTGGTTTCAAACACCGCAAAGGAAACTAGAAATCATCTTGTCCAATATCTACCCCATTCAGAGATGTTTTCTAAAGCTGAAAAGAGTTGAGTGCAGGTTTCCAAATCAGGGGTCAGACAAGGAAGCTTATAGCCTGAACCATGAGACAAACCCCCTCTTACTCGTCGGGGAATGAGTTGAAAGCAAGGGCAAGCATTTGCACAGAAGCTTTTTCCTCCTACAGCTCACTAACCACTCCAGTCACTTGATCAGCTTGTGAGATTTGATCATAATAAAACAAGTGTCAAGAAAACCTGATTAGATAAGCCCTGTGCACTCACACAGTCCTTGCATTGTGATAACCTCCCACAAAAATGTCACATACAAGCTGTGTGCCCTGGGAGATACTGCTGACTTGGAATTTGAGAGCCAGGCAGGAGTGCATTTGATTTCAATCTGAGAAGATTCCAAAGGACTGAATTTGGAGGATTTATGACTACCACTACG